TCCTTTTATTGTGAGAATAAGAGTACTAAGTGATAGCCTACTAGTCTAAGTTACAATAGATTTTAGATTAAAGAGAAAGATATACAGATAGTAAAGACCTTGCTACTTGTATGTTCCCATGTGCGCCAAACAATACCACAATTTCAATTAACTAATTACTTAGATTAACTAACTAACTAAAGAGATCAACTGCAAACTTTGAAATGGGCATTTTAATCTGGTTTTAACTGAAGCCATCCCTTGTTGATGACATTAATGTAACTAGTACTTATGCATCTGTGGATTCAGGAAATCCACATTAGATTTCCCAGATGGTTTACTTTCTGTTGCTAAGAAAGTTATCCCTTTATATATTGTCTTTATTAGGTACTGGGACACATTTAATTTCAATTAATTTATTAAACAAATAGTTTACAGACAAAAATATTGACCAATTTATATTAAAAACTACAAATGTTTATTGTTGAAATCAGTGCAACACTTTCTACTCATAGATATCTTGTGAAAGACCAGGTTGTTTTGTGATTGTTTCCTTCAGAGCTTAGAAAAGTTACTTTTTGGGAAAACAACCCACAGCCTCCCCTAGCCAACATGGCTAGTGGTCATGTGCCAATGCTGGCTGTGCAATTCGGAGAGTTGTAGTCCCAAAAAAGCATATTTTTCAGGGTCTACTTTCCTCTTACTATTTCTCCGTCATCTGCAGGAGACAATGAGTCAATGAAGGAAGAGCAAGTGAATAAGAGTGCATGCATGGTCTTGTCTAGAGTAGACCCAGAACTCTTTATGTTTTGTGAAAATCTAAAGGTTGACGTTAATACAACTGCTACTACTAATATTTTTTTCTGCCTCTCCTCAAGGCTTTGAGGCAGGGTACAGCACACATCAATAGAAGCATAGTGTCTAGATCAAAGGAAGTAATGCTCTCTATTATGCTTTGGTCAGCCCTCACCTGGGATACTGTGCCCAGTTCTGGGCACCATAATTCAAAAAAATGTTGACAAAGTGGAATGTGTCCAGAGGACGATGAGGGAAATGATGAAGGGTCTGGAAACCAAGCCTTATGAGGAGTGACTTAGGGCCACCCCAAAGGGCCAATCTGGGGGTGGAGTTAGGGCGTGGAGTCCACCCGCCCACTGCCCCGACTCTTCATACCACCTGCTGAAACAAACAGACAGGTGGTGGCAGGGCAGTCCCTTAGCACAGCGTTTAGCAGGGGTAGGCAACCTTTCCCCTTTAAGGGCCGAGGGACTTCAGCTCCCAGAAGCCTCAGCCATGTTGGCCAATAGTCCCATGTTGGCCAATAGCGCCTGGAATTCTGGGAGCTGAAGTCCCTCGGCCCTTAAAGGGGAAAGGTTGCCTACCCCTGGTTTAGACACACTGTGCCAAAGGAGTGCAGAAAAGCCACGGCGGCAAGAGCTGCTTTTTGCCGCTCCAAAAAGGAGCGGCATTTGCCAGCTCTTTTTGGAGCAGCAAACTGCCGGATTGGGGTTGTGGTGCGCGGTTGCTGCTGTCCCGATCCAGCGCTGCCA